CCGGATTATTATATACACTGAGCGGCCGGATTATTATATACACTGAGTGGCCGGATTATTATATACACTGAGTGGCCAGATTATTATATACACTGAGTGGCCGGATTATTATGACCACCTGACGTTTGTAGGCAAATTAGCTATAATTTGGCGCTGAAGTTGCTAGAGGGCCAGACCATTATAAATAGGGAAGCGGGTTGGTTACCACGACAGTAGAAGTGATTTGTTTCTGAAGATACGGGGAAACAACGCGATGTAACAGCCTTTGAACGCGGGATGATTGTTGGCGCTCGGAGCCATGGAGCGAGTATCAGCAAAACAGCAGAATCCGTTACATGTTCAGGAGCAGCTCATTGTTAAAGTGTTTAAAGACCGGACTGTCAGCCGAAAATCTGGGTCTGAGCGTGCGAATTGTGGCCGTCAGCGACTAGTCAATGTTAGGGCAGAACGGGGGAGGGGCAAGACTGGTACAAGACAACAGAAGGGCAACAGCGCCGTCTCAGATTCCTCGCATCACCTTTCATCATCTCGTGGAGTCACCAGGCGGCCCAACGAAGTACTGATGGGGGGTAATAATAATCTGGCCACTCAGTATATATATATATATATATACACACACAAGATTTCTGTCTGTAGTTGGACCCGGGATCAAGATTTGCTATGTTAGGGCCGGTGCAGACCTGGGCGATCCAGGACGGGCGTCCCGGGACTGCGCCATCTTGCACAATTGCACACAGTGATTGTCACGTGGCCCCATTAATTTCAATGGGGTGACACCTGCAGTGGCGTCACAAGCGGGGTGCGGGCCACACCCAGGTGCCACCATTGGAGGGGTGAAACCAAAATGACTGACAGTCAGGAGAGAGGAGGGGACCCTGCGGCGTACCTCATCCCTCCCCGGGTGAACGTCCCCAACTCTCTCTGCCAGCGTCCATCACCAAGATGGATGACAGCAGGCGTCAATAAGACGACCAGGAATGCACGATGACGTCATTGCGCAAACATGGCAACGTCACGCTCAGGTGCGATGACGTCACGGCGTGCTGTCACCCGGTCTCCGCTCCGGGTGTCACCCAGCCTCGGGACGCCCCTTGACATCTTCATGGCAGACCCAGAATAAAAGGTACATGTACCTTGTTTTTGCGACACACCACGCATGGCTGTTTAAGCCGCGATCGTGTTTGGTTGCACGGGAAAACCGCACGACGAGCAAGGAGCGACTGGGGTGCCATGAGAAAATCATGGCACCGCCAGCGCGATCAGCTGTGGTGGGCGACTCCGTGGCAGGAACGGCAATTGTGCACGATTGCTGCGCGGTCACGGATCGCCCAGGTGTGAACCTGGCCTCATAGGCAACATCCAGAAAGGGTGAGCAGTATTAGTCAAATAAACCTTAATCCCTTTTGAACACTAACTAAGCCTGGGCACGCGTTTTCAACCTCATGGCTGTATATCTGCAGTGTGAGATCTCAGCCACTGCTGCACCCGACTGTTAATCTCACCAGATTTGGAGTGATATATGGTGATGTCATTACTGTTCTGCTCACTATATCTGTAAAAAAAAATAAAAATCAAGGCAACTGGACTTGCTGTATTTTTTCTCCAAGATGTTTCGGTGGTCATCCGACTAGCTTTCCCATTCTGGATTGAGAAAGCTAGCCGGATGACCAGCGAAATGTCTTCAAGTAAAGACACAGAAGTCCAGTTGCCTTGATTTATTTTTTGACAGACCTGGATGAATGAGAACCGTCACAGATGCTCTGCTCTATGTTCTCCTTGCTGGAGAGGAAGCTGCACCTGAGGACCTGTAGTGCAAGGATCTCTCTGCTTCATTTTGTAGCTTTCGGCCCCCTGCACCTTTCCCTCCTTGCTCCACTATTTATCAGGGATGCACCGAAACATATTGGCCGAAAAATACAGCGCTGCATCCCTCTTTTCTTTCCTCCCCACTGAGCGCTGTTCTGTGTCCCAGCGGGGAGGAGAGAAACTGTCACAGGCGGCCGAGCACTGCGGGAGGAGAGAGCTGTGAGCGGCCGGCGTCTCTAATCCTACACCTCTCAGCCCCTGTCAAAGTCCAGGAGAGCGGTGTGGGGGCGGAGACAGCCCGCGCTGTCACAGGAAGCTGAGCTCTCCTCCCTACAACGCTCGATCAGCCTCCTGTGACAGCGTGTCAGAGAGGAGAGCGGGTACAAGCAGTCGGTGATCGGTGAGTGTTTGTAGATAATTGAGGACAGAGTATGGTTACTATATCCTCAACTATGAATGAATGGGAAGTGATCTACATCACATCTTGTCCTAATTTAGCTGGCCGGCGACTGCCAGAGGTGCCGCGCGTGTCGGGATCCTCTGGCAGTCGCTGACCAGCTAAATTAGGACCCCACCTGGAGCTCCTCCCACCGGAGCAGCGCTGACTCGCCACTGCTCTCCCGCACCAAAGGTAAGTGAAAAAAAAAACCATAGCGCAAACATCGGGGCATTTTGACAAGTACAAGGATAACACAGGGGATACAGGAAAAGAGATTGAGGACTCTGTGTGTCTCTGAGGACTCTGTGTTGCTACAGCATCTTATGCTGGTGGCTTTCACTGGTGGCTGGGAGAAGAATGCGCTGCTGTTCAGATCACTGACAGTGATCTGAGAGCCAGGAGTGGCGGTGGAGCAGGCTGGACCTGGCAGTGGAGGAGGAGGCGGGGCCCGGTGACAGTGAAGGAGGTGGGCCCGGCGACGGAGGAGGAGGCGGAACCCATCTGCGATCATGCAGGAAGAGGAGGCGGACAGGTAAGGAGTGTGACCAGCCCACCTGACCAGGGTCACCCTCAGGTGGGCTAAGTGGGCTCTGCAAGGGGCATAACTAGAAGTCACAGGGCCCCATACAAAATTTTGCTATGGGGTCCTGTGATTTCTAGTTACGCCCTTGGATTGCAGTTTAGTCAAAAGTCATCTCAGCACATGGAGTGTAGTACCGGGGTTACGCTGTAGGTGGCAGTCTTGGTTTGACACCTATACCCTTCCACAACCAGCAACAAGCCAACAATCAGAACACAATGACACGGCCATCATAAGTCGATCGATGGAATCAAGTCTATGGTTTTGTTTCTTTTAATATTTTAAATACATTGAAAAGTTCAACTCTATTTAATTTTATACAACAGTTTACAAAGTCGATCATACTTAAATAACACCTTGCAATATATTCCAACGATTTGGAGATTTTTTTCTGGGATTTATGGCTTTCCTAACAATATCTAATCGACGATCAATGAATTAACTTCAAATATTAACTTGCATGGCAGCTGAATCTGGTTTCTAGTCGAGCGTACTTTTTTTTTTGGTTGTTCCAGAGTTCCGAAAACATCATTGTAGAATCTAATTGTAAGACAGACTTGTTGTTTTTAAAGATGATACGAAAAGTCTACAATCATTTTGGAAACGAAGAACAAAAAAGTGTAAAAATACAGACCAGATCTACAATTTTTTTTTTGGCAAAGAACACAAATTACGACTGTCAATAGGAGAGTCCACATCCACAAGTGATGATTTTCAAAAGGCACTCAGCAGCGGAAAACAAAGATTAGCTCCCCCCCCCGCCCCCTCCGCTCTTGATTAAATATAGTTTACTCGTCATGAAAAAAAAGTATTTTCAAGTTTCCACTCCACTAGCAAAAGTACTAAATAAAGTCTTCCAGACTCTTCCAGTGTTTCACATCAAAGAATGTATCTCCTTCTATAATTGTATTTCTTTCTGGATTGTATCTCCTTCTGGTTTGTGTCCCTTACTGGATTGAGTCTCTTTCTGGATTGTATCCCATTCTGGATTCTGTTCCTTTCTGGATTGTTTCCCTTACTGGATTGTGTATCCTTCTGGATTGTATCCCTTACTAGGTTGAGTCTCTTTCTGGATTGTATCCCGTTCTGGATTGTGTCTCCTTCTGGTTTGTGTCCCTTACTGGATTGTGTATCCTTCTGGATTGTATCCCTTACTAGGTTGAGTCTCTTTCTGGATTGTATCCCGTTCTGGATTGTGTCTCCTTCTGGTTTGTGTCCCTTACTGGATTGTGTATCCTTCTGGATTGTGTCCCTTACTAGGTTGAGTCTCTTTCTGGATTGTATCCCATTCTGGATTGTGTCTCCTTCTGGTTTGTGTCCCTTACTGGATTGTGTATCCTTCTGGATTGTGTCCCTTACTAGGTTGAGTCTCTTTCTGGATTGTATCCCGTTCTGGATTGTGTCTCCTTCTGGTTTGTGTCCCTTACTGGATTGTATCCCATTCTGGATTGTGTATCCTTCTGGATTGTGTCCCTTACTAGGTTGAGTCTCTTTCTGGATTGTATCCCGTTCTGGATTGTGTCTCCTTCTGGTTTGTGTCCCTTACTGGATTGTATCCCATTCTGGATTGTGTATCCTTCTGGATTGTGTCCCTTACAGGATTGAGTCTCTTTCTTGACTGTATTTCTTTCTGGATTGTATCCCTTACTGGGTTGTGTATCCTTCTGGATTGTGTCCCTTACTTTATTGAGTCTCTTTCTGGATTGTATCCCATTCTGGATTGTGTCCCTTACTGGATTGTATCTCTGTGTTGACTGTATTTCTTTCTGGATTGGATCTCCATCTATATTTTATCTCTTTCTGGACTGTATCCCTTTCTGGTGTGACTCTGGTGACATCCGGTGCCTTGCCGAAAACTCCACTTGAGCCGCAAACACCTTCCACTTGAGCCGTCCACCTTAAATACTGTCCTCCGCCCGTGCCGTCCACCTTCAACGCTGTCCCAAGTTATAAACAGTTCTTTGCAAGGAGAAGAAACATTAAATTACTTTTATTTTTACTCTAACAGTTCAGATTCCATCTCATCGGAGGTTTCTAAGTCTCTTGGGAGCTTGCAGTCTCTTTCTCTTCGCCATTGTTGGATACAATGCTTTGCTAGGAAACATATAATAGTCATTGTCTGCTGAGCTCACTGTTCAAGTGACGTTAGGAAGTGTGGGAGGTGCACGGCCAGCCTCACGCTAACACCAGGTTATTCCAGGAGTCGTGTTTGGAGCTGACTTGCGGAGATGTGTTGATTGAGTGGTGGGTCTGCGGAGAGAGTTTAAGGCCTGCCATTGAATAGATGGACGATCCGTGGCTGGTAATGGTAGATAGTGGAGATGCCTGGAATGCCAGAATATATAAAAGATCAATTACAATGAAAACCTATAT